GGTGCACATGGGCTCCAGGACCCTAATGGAACGAATGGCGTATGAACCAATCACTGGTCACCGGCTACCATGGGACTGCATCTCCTGACGTTGCTCCATTGACTTGTGGATCATATCTCTAAGTCAAAGGCTCCGGGTGTGGCCCCCTAAGAAAACCACCTGCTTCAGTTTGGGAACTTGAGCAGTATCACAACCCTTACACAAATCAAATGAGATTTGTGTGGCACATATGTATCTGGTCCCCCTTTGTACCAATTTTTTTGTATGTTTAAATAAATAATAATAAATAGGATGAATGTAATTACAAATTAATTTTAAGTGAATTGAATAAGCATTTTGTATTCATGGGCTTTAATCAACTTGTCGCTATGTTATAATAAGATATTTAAAAACATTTAACTAGTTCAGCATCTAAAAATATAGTAATGTACTCTGGGTTTTTTTTCAATTCAATGAACGATATATTAGCAGAATTGTATTCTGTTGTACTTGTAACAGTTACTGTCACTTCATACACACACAGTACATTTCATTTATACTTGTTTACAGTTTTCTCTTGTTTCTGTGGATTGTTTTGTTCGTAGTTACCATAGTACGTTTTAAATAAATCCAAGTATTTCTATTTTGTAAATTAAAAGTAATGCACAATTCTGTTTTAATTACTAGTTATAAAACTAACATTATTATAATTGATAACAATGCAAGTTATTTTTCCTTCAAACCTAGTTCAATTATTGTTACAATTCCTACATACCATTCGGATGAACTGTTTGATAATCATGAACGAAATCAATACAGTTTTTACGCCTTAGCTGTCTCTAAGTGGATAGACATTTCCAAGTAGGCAGCTTGTATTATCTTGAAGAAATTTAACAGGAATTGGACTTATGCCCCATAGTTAATAAATACAGTGAAAGACTGTTCGGTGGTTAATCAATCAGTAGACATTTTTAATAAATTTTATTTATTACAGTACAAAAAAGTGGACAAATGGTCTTCTCTAAATGATAACAATCAATGCTACAAATGGTACTATTACGATCAGTGAATTATAAAACACTTAAAAAAGTCAACATCAACCTATTATTCAAATGAGAATATGTTCACTTTTTAAATGCAGTTCAATTTACAGAAACTCTTCACTTATTGTATTACTTAGTAGACATCAATATTTTGTTGTTCTGATATTTAGTGTTTTCAGATTCCATACACCAATTTGCAACCTGATCATTAATGTAAGTGAACAAAAACTGTGGTTTCCTGCGTTCGAGGTGATTGTTACACTAAACGTTGAGGACTCGAGTTCTATAGAGAATTTCAGTTCCTTTGAGACTGCAGATACACCTTATTCATCAATACCAACCAGGAACTGATATATATGCAGTGTTTCCTACCGGTTGGCTTTAGTCATCCAACGTTCTTCTTTCCATGATTCTCAGCTTATAGATAACTTATATTGACATGAATTGAAACCAACCAGTGTATTTTTGGTTTTAAATAATCTTCATAGATAGAAAATATTCAAATGTAAAACTACTGATTTGCTGAACAACAATATTTCTTCAGCGATATTTTCTAAATATTTAACTAAGAGCTAAAAAACTATAAGAAAGAATAACTATAAAAGATTCACAGTACTTAAAGATCTTTTTAATCCGATTCAGTACTAAAGTACCATGTTTTATCTAATTAGATGATTTCTACTTATTTTTAATCCCCAGATATTTCTTAGACTTGCTTATCGTAACGAAAGAATTTGTAAAGCTTTAAAACTCGTATGACTTGTCTTAGATACATTCACTGATTAATGCATAAAACTTGAGGGTAAGATTATTCTCCTTAGTTACTAACATTTAGCATGATGTTAAACTTGCTTCAATTTAGCCTATTTATATAATATATTAGACGCAAAAATTTATTTGATATCAATAAAAAATGGGAAGGCTATGAGAGATTAGGGGAGAAACTCATACCAAGATAAATGACTTTTGACACAATCTTTATTACGAAATTTCTAACAGTAAAAACTGAATATGATTTCAGCCGGATATTTAAGTGTTTGTAGTGAGCTACTTTTATGGCGAGAAAGCAACTGGTATAATGGAAACGATTATTATCATAACCAATAGTGCTAGTGATTGTTTTACTGTACTTGGCGTATCGTTTTCTTTGCGAGATGTAAGAACACGGCCATTTGGTAATTCGGCTGTTGGTGTTGATTTTGACAAATTTGTTTGAGAGTGGTGGCCCCAAAATAAAGTTATAGGCAGAAGTATAATCTAGAATGTATATCAGATATACTCTCTATCCTTATATGTTTTTTTTACAAACTCAAAATTAATAAAAAGGGAACCGAAGTATATGTGCGCCACACAAAGTTGTTATCATTTACTTTGCTTGTGAGTTTGGATACAGCGCGGGTGCCCAAGACAAAACAGGTGGCTTTCTCAGGTAAGCCTTTGACTTTAAGGTCAACGACGTAAGGAGACGTGGTCTCATGGAAGCACGTGGCCAATAGTGGGCTCATATTCTACTTATTCCCTCTGTATCTTAGAACCCATCTGCTTCATTCGAAGCCAAGGTTTTTCAATTCCGTTGGGTTAATGCTATGTACTGATCAGCTATTCCTATGACGTCTATTGCGGTGGAGACAGTCGCTCACCGCTTCGTAGAACGATGGATAGTACTGTACGGTTGTCCCTCGACTGTCAAAAATGACCGAGGACAACAATTTGAATCCACATTATTCTCCTTACTGACCCGGCTACTTGGTACGGAGCGCATACACACAACCGCCAACCACCCAGTATCGAATGGTTTACTTGAACAGTTTCATCACCAACTCAAAATTGCTCTTCGAGCACACGGAAACGATGATTGGTACGAAACCTTACCTCTCGTCCTCTTGTGTATCAGAACGAGCTTAAAGGCAGATATTCGATGTTCCGCCGCTGAACTTGTATACGGCACGACATTGCGCCTGTCTGGGGAATTTTTCACACCACGGATCAGCAATAAGTTCGGCGAATCAGACTACGTCCAACGACTGTCTGAATTTATGCAAATACTGCCTCCGGTGTCAACTTGTTTACAAAATCGACAGGTCGCTCTCCCTCAAAAGTTATCTATCTGTTCACATGTTTCCTTATGAGTATATTCGGTACGCGAAACTCTACAACAGCCTTACGAAGGACCTTTTCACGTGATTCCCCGTCACGAAAAGACCTTCAAGGTTGATCGACATGGCTGCGTCGTGATAGTCAGCATTAATCGTCTCAAATAAGTACACGTCGATGACAGTGCCCTACCCGATAAGCCGAGACTCAATTTCTAGTGGGATCCCTACATCATTTTCTGATCCCACGCTAGATGCATCAGAAACCTCATTCCCACGTCTCAGTCAACAGCACGTGTCATCTGCCCTATCTACGGATGAGACTTCAGTCTCATGTACAGATCAGCGACCACGCAGCCCTTGACTTCGGATGAGATCTCAGTCTCGTGAGGTACGAACGGGAGATGTACACCAATTATTGTCATAGAAACATCCACGAAGATCTAAGGGATGGGTTTGTGTAAATGGTCGTGAAGGTAAACGTACCTTTCACCATGTGTGGCGATTGTCTTCCCATTTGCCGCCTGTAGGTTCAAAACAGATTCATGAAGCCTGTTGTTAGCAATTACTGGAAGAACACTAACTTCTGCGCCTGTATCGAAGAGGTAGTGAACTTTCGTGATCACATTTCTGACATATAACAGACGGCTATGTTCGTCGGCTACTGCTGCCGTTAACGCGTGCCTGCTGGGAAGCTTCCGTAACCATTTTTCGTGTCTGTCAATTTAGTCAGGGCTTTCAGCAATTTCTGGTAGACTTCCCATACTGGTTATGATACAGCACCAGTTGGTGTTATCAGTCTCTCGTGGTCTAGAGACAGATCGCCTATGCGAAGTTACCGTTTACGGTCATTATGAAGCCTAAGATAACGTGTAAGTATATGACATAATGTCATCCAGGGTCGTTTGAGGTTTTCCTTTAACTGAGGAAACCTCGGTATTAGATTTTGTGATTTCGAGGATCCAGTCTGCAGATTCAGGGAGCTCATATACGGTGTTGTTTTGATACGAGACCAGCACAGCTTGCACGCGTTGATGAAGTTTAAACAAGAAACGTTGTCTGAATAGGCCATCATTAAAAATTTCTTTGGTCTATTACCTCTCTTACTCATAGCAACATGTCTGTCGCAGAACGATGTTTTAGGGAGTTGATCTAACCTCTGTCGATTGGTTACATCTCCACGTCTCTGAATTGACCGTTTCATAAGCTGCCGAAAAAACTAGGTCTGACGTGTCTGTTGAATTCGAGAGGTAGTGGCTTTACTACTGCGAGGAATTGTGCGCGTGGATCAGTCATGCCGTGCTTGTAGAAGTCAGCATCTACGTAGCAGAATCAAGCTTCGAAATTGTCCTACCGAAAAGGCATTAGCTGAAACGACGATGGTGTGATAATCTTGACCTTGAGTAGCTTAGGAGTTTATTCTGTCATGACGAATTTAAAGTAAAGGGGTAAACGAAGGAAAAATATTTAAAAATAAGAAAAAATGTATCACAATATATATAAAAATTTATGTAAAGCAATGATTTGTGAAGTTCCAAAAGGCAAGAGACTCACAATTTATGGGTTAGTGTCCCAGATCACGTCGGGTCACCAATGAAGACGCCAAAGATATTGTAGTATGACAACACTTTAACTAGCAACAATTTCTGCAATTGAATCGCGCTCACTTAGTGAAGTCAAAAGTCAGAAGTGAGGAGATTGAGAGATATATATTTGATAGATTATCAAAATATCAAGAAGTGACTGATCTAAACTGATTAGCGAGAAGAAAGAAGGAGAAGTTGAGCACGGCATTCCCATTCATGATCTGGTGCGGATGCATGATCGAGCACCTCCCAGCTAGGTGATTCCATTAAAACTAATGTGGATAGCATCCAATGTCGAACACTTACAAAGCTAATGATTTTGAAGATTTATTAACCGCTATAGTAACAACCTTGGTATTTATCTATCATTACTGAGAAATTTTAATGCACAATATTCAAAATCTATATCATTTGTTAATAATTGGTATGAAAAATTTATTGCCCCAGGTAACTTTCACTTCTTTTGTTTTAACAAGCACTGCGTCGCCATTTTCGCATCTTTGTTCGTTATTACCGATTGCTACCAAATTATTTACCACTCCGATGCCACTCAGAAAGAAGACTAATGAGGTGGTAAGCATATTATATGTAAACCATTAAATGACTTATTTTTTCTTGGAATATTTGGGAAATTCGCTTTCTCAGGAGGTGTCTATCAGTTTGAAGTATTTTGTAGATTGTCGTCCTTGTTTTGTTATACAGTCGGTTTGTCGTTCGTAATCAGCAAAAGTACTTTCTAGGCCTCAAGTCGGTGTTTTTTACCTGAGTTTTGGTGACTGTCAATAGTTAGGAGTTTAGTCGTCCAGTTATTATCATCCTGATACTGCTGTTCATCTGATTGCATTAGGTTAATTCATTGAGCTGCCATTATTTTAATTCAGGCAGTTAGTCCACCTCACTTTTGTCTCAGTTATTCTCGTATTCTTTTAGGCTTGTTGGTCACATTAGATGTTCGTCTGGCATTCTGAATTACTGATTATATGGCCTTACCGTTAAACCCTAAAACAATACAATCACGTGGTTGACTGATTGCTTCCAGCGATCAGAAGAGTTCAGACTTGGCTAAGTTCTTGCTGAACAACTCACTATCGGCACGTTGTAGGTGATGACAGCATACTTCATAAGTACCATCTAGTTTGTATTACTAGTACTGTGTTGATAGACCTAGGTAAAACACTTGTCTAACATTTTCGTTTCCTATGTCTATGTAATGCAGTGGCGATGGTAGTTGTTGTGTGGTTTCGCCTGATATGTGTTTAAAATCGAATGCTGGCAGGAAAAACTGCACTCACTTAGCAGAGGTGTTTTCATCCGAATTTATTATCTTAAGCAACAAATTTTATAGGTACTGTACGATTGACCTCTAGTAGTTAATCACTCATTCAATAAAGTTTGGTTTATATATATATATATGGCGGGGGTGTTGTTTACGAAGATGAGAGGACGAAAAGCGAATGTCCTGCGCTTTAACCGGATTGGTAGACACCGAAAGTTCACCTAGGGGAGTTGGAAAACCCTGATTCCAAACCAATGGTGCACATGGGCTCCAGTATCCTGAGGGAACAAATGGCGTACGAATCAGCCGTTGGTCACCGGCTACCATGGGACTGCATCTCCTCACGATGCTCCACTGCCTTGTGGATCAGACCTTTTGTTCAAAGGCTCGGGGTGTGGCCCCCTAAGAAAACCACCTGCTTCAGTCTGGGCACCTGGGCAGTATCACAGCCTTCACACAAATCGAATGAGATTTGTGAGGCGCATATTTATCTGGTGCTTCCTTGTACCAATATTTATGTGTTTAAATAAATAAATAAATCAGATGTGCACATCTTATATTTAGTTTCTAATAATACACGAGATCCTCATCACTACTTTTCAGATATCGTCCGAAAATTCGATGACTGCTATTTTTAGTCTAATTGGTTCGTCAGTGTAGCATACTTTTGCCGATATTCGGATTTTGCGTTGATATTGACTGACTATTAAGGAAATACATATATGCCAAAATTGCTGAGAAACTTATTATGCCATGTCATAATATTTTAGTGTTTTAAACATTCATTTGCAGGTAACAAGGGGTCGTAGTAAATCAACTAGTCGGGGTACTTCAAAAATTCGTTCACGAACCCCAAGCTCTGCACGGTCTCGATCAAAAACACCTACTAGGCGAGCGCGTACGCCGGCCTCTGAGTCCAAGGTGAGGCGTAGACGTTCTCCTAGCCCTGACCCTAGTGAAGAATCTGTGAAAAGTGTTACAAAAACAACCCAGTATACTGAGACTGTGTTTGATCGCCCTGCCCAAACGGACGTATTAAAATCATTGCCTCTAAACCATGGACTATCTCGTTTTTCCCAAAAAATTGTCAAGAAAATAGAAACAGAAAAACCAACTCATATCTATCAGGAAGGGTAAGTTCGATGTCTTAGATTTCACACGAAGTTGCAATTATTGGGTGTGACCTTTTGAACACATGATTTTAATACAGTATTGTAAACTTCCACTTTGTGTGCAAAAAGAAAATATGCATATGTGAAATGCTACTAATTCAAATAACCAACCTAAATCCAATGTACTGCATCACTTAGACGTTAATAGACTTCCGATTAGTTTGATTTAAGTTAATAATGATTGGTTTTTAGTCTCAGTCGGTTCATAAAATCGAAAAACTTACTTGTCGATATTTAAGTTTTTCATCTAGATTAGTTGTTTTACTGATAATCTGTTATTCTGCGTATGCTGACCAAACTATATTTACTGAGTGATAAGCCTATTAATAATCTAGTTTTTTGGTGTGTATATATATGTAAGCGCGTTCAGCTTGGAACCATTGAATGTTTGCTCATCTGGTCTTCAAAATTACGGATATTCAACAAGTTGGCCAGCTTTCGTTCTCGCAGTAACTTTCAATGACCAGTGTTTCACTATTTTCTAAATGCTACTTATGCTAACGGATTCCAGTCATTAACTGGTTGGTCAATAAAATGCAAACTCACTGTATGTTTATACTATCATGGCTTTCGAACTATCTTGTTATGCCCTCGGAGATAACTTATAACAATGTTTCGTTAGCACGGTATTATTAAACATTGTAAAACGCCGTACATTTAGAATATTAGGCGTAAAGTCACAAGTAAACCTTGTGTTGAAAAGCTCTTTGAAGCAACTTGTTCACTTAATCACTTGACAATGATCACATGAAGGTATAGTAGTTTGTAATCGCTTTATCTCATTTTCAGTTTTACGGGAGTAATGTCTTGTAAAGAATCTAGAAGTAATCCACTCTACTACTAATACTCATGTTTACTAAAACGTTCTCGTGTGCTTGAATCATGTGACTGAATTGTTCAAATCAGCTAGTTGGAATCTGCCTATATTTTTACATCTCTAAAGATTTTATGTGTATAGAAAACTCTATCGTTGGTATAAGAAACACCAGCAGTTCGTTAAAATTAGAAAAACTGGTGTATTATGAAAAACCACTGTACGAATGTTCCCTCTCAAGTGGCGCCGAATAAGTACTGGTTGTTCTACCGCGAAGGATTCTATATTCATTACTTTCATCAAATCAGTCCTAAAACTGCAGAGTTTCTGCTTTTTCCAAAATAAAATGTTTGACTAAAATGTGTGCTTAAATAAATAAATAACATGACCAGCTTTCTGCCTCTTGGATATGCCATCCTTTTTCCAGCGAATTCTATCAATCAATAACAACCTGATGGACGGTTTATTTGTCGTTAGCAGGTTTTATGCTTATAGCTGACTGTATTGCTTACTCTCGATCGCTTTCGTACAGGTCTATGGGTAAAAGTGGCAGTGATTATCAAGTACAAATAATTACTTTTCTGTCTTGAAAACATGAGCGTACATAGCACTTTGTTTTTAAAAAGCTTAGCCCAAGGCAGTAACATTAAATAATCTTTTGAGCCACCCAGTGACAGTATTTGTAAAGACTTATCAGACTGCTGCAGAAACCGGTTCATTGATAAAACTTTCACCATGCACAACTGATTTCATTTATAAATCTGCAGTTCACTAGCTACTTGAGTGTTATGTATCCTTAGTTTCATGACCCATCCATTCATTCATTCAGTTTAGTACGTCAAGTACTCTCCTCATAGTCAATCCATTTCTTTTTGGGATTGATCTACGTTTGTTTTCACGTTATTTGAAATCACAATCATTAAATAACTCAACAGTTTCAGGGGATTAAGTTAATACAGGTGTTTGGTAACGAAGTATATTTTTCATTTGTAGTTAGACGAATATGCAGATGCAGAATAATGTACTTCCAGTGCAAATAATGTCAGTTGTTTCCTCCCGCATTGCTCACACGCTTCCTTTTAAAAATCAATATTTTACGTCATAACACTGAATCTAGGTATTCCTGGTTAATTTCTACGAAATTCTGAAAAGTTGTTTTGAAGCTCAAGTATCTGATCAAATAACCCACAAGCTCACATTTTATTAGTACGCTATATTAAATATACTGTTATATATCTGTTTCTTACAGACTAGTTCACAAGTCGGAAGCGACCCAACTACACAAACCAGTAACACTAACTCCACTCTTGACAAATTATCGTAAAACGTTGTTTAGTCCAACTGTTGTTGCCATTATTCAAGTACTGTTCATTGTACCATTTGTTTACTGGCTGAATCTTCTGATATTCGCACCCGTTTCAATAAGCAATTTTTCTGGAGAAAACAAAAGCTTATGGGAATCTGCGTTTCCACTAATTGAAATTCTTTGGCCAACAGGAGATAACAAAAGTTTGTGGGGTCCTGCACGTCCATTCCTTGGAGTTCTTTGGCCAACTGACTGGCACAACTATATCAATATCCAGAGTTCCGTGCTCGTTTTCATGTATCTTTTGTTACAGTGTCTAGTTGCTCGTTTTCTCCCTATTGGTCGAATGGTTACTACAGGGCTCCGAAATATCGACTACCGCTGTAATAGTAAGTTTTTTTACTGTTGAGACGAAGTCTATATAAAGCACAAATTATTAAAAGCATAACTACCCCTTGTGATAACCGAATTAAGCACTAATTTAGAACGAATATCTGAATAATGTAGAAATTAAATGTTATTTGTTGATATATGCCAGTAATTTTGTAAATAAGCAACGCAATCACCTGTCCAAAATATAATTCTATTCATCATAAAAGTATATTGTTGACCAACTTAATCGGTAAATCCACTGTTTTTCTCAGATAATTTGAGCAGTTAGTACCTTCAGAAATAAACTATCTAGCAAACTTAACTAAAGGAGTGTTTATTATCAGATTTCTATCATCATTCATATGGGTGAACATGTGCTTTTAGTGGTGACATTTTTAAATGAAGTTTCTTCAAAGTCTTATGAAACAGTAAAACATAAACACTTCTCATCCATTAATCTGAACTTTTTTCTGTTAGTTATCGTTATTTTAATATTGTATGTATTTATTCTTTTAGGCCTGATATCTTTTGTCATCTTCATCGGGTTGTTTGCTTTCGCTGAAATCTCCGAGTGTACTACAGTCAGGAATTTAAAACCAAGTCAAATGCTCCCAAACCTGTGGCTCAGTTTACTGACTTCATCTTGTTTGGCTTCTCTTTTTTTATCGTTGGTTGCGTATTTCGCCTCTAAGACAGTTGTACGCTATACAAGACAATCAGCGGCCAAAACAAGTTAGTAAAAGTAGTCGATGCTGTTTTTAATCAGTTAGATTATATGATTTCCATTTAATTTTAATCAGTGTCGTAGGAAATGCATGTGTAATATTTTCCTGACTTTAATTGGTTTCACATTCGTACATTGTTAATTTTCGAGAAAATGGATGCTATTTTGTACTTGCTCTTTGTTTATTTATTTAACTGCACAATACTCATATTCATTTCACACTAAAGCATATGTACGTTTTGTCGGAAAGTGTCTGCAGCCTGCACTTAGGTTTTTAATGTAAAGAGTGGAACCGATCACTCTCAAAGAAAACAAAACAACAGTAGAACTTTCTATCTACAGTAGGCTCGCTATCAGTGCTAACAGTACTTATCATTTCCCAATTAATTATATAATTATTTAATGCATGCTTTTCTCACAATTTATAGGTAGTATTTTCCTTGATTTCTGGTGTGGTCGTCACGTACGACCTCAGTGGCTTGGTATTGACTGGAAAATGACTATAACACGATCGGGATTGATGGCATTGCCCCTAATAGACTTAACGTATATATTCAGACAGTATGAGCAATATGAACGCATTAGCCCGGCTCTTGCTGCGCATGCTCTTATGCACGCCTTATGGGTGCTTGACTTCTTCATCTTCGAGGTACGTGTTGTAGTGTATTTTCATACGTACTTGGTTCTTCGTCTTTTGTTGTACACTGTAAGTAGTCAAAATCAACTAAAAATTGGTTTTCGGAGAATAGCAAACTTTATGAATTTAAATTTTTATCATAATACGTTGCAATATTCTATTGCATATACCATGTTTTTTATATTTATTTCAGCATGCCTTTTCCTTTACTTACGAAATGCAATCCGTAACATTTGGTTCTTGCTTTATTATCAGTCGACTAGTCGCTCTACCTTTCGTGTGTTCCATAACAAGTTCATACTTGTCTTCAAGACCTGATGTTGGCCGACAGCTAACTAGTTTTTCAAAACATAGTTGTAATGCCTGGATTATGGGAATTTCTATGGTTTTATTTTTACTGGGATTATGGATTCATCGTAGATCAAACAACCAGAAAGATAGATTCAGACGTGATCCTCACGACCCATCATTCGCTAGTGAGTTGACATATATTTTCTATCGAAATGTATTTTGCTCTTTGTACAGTCTTAAGATTTCTTGAGTTAAGAATAACTATGGACCTTAAAACGTTTATAGTATCTAGTTTATCCAGTGCTTTATTCTTATCTTGATTACTAAATCCATAACTAACAACTAACATGTTTTACACAGTTAGCGTGTAGCAACTCATCTATTCAATACTGAAGATGAACCAACTTAATTTGTAGAGTTATATTGTGTTTCCCCACTTTTATGCTTTATTATTTTCAACGTATATTATCTTGGAAACCTCATTTTCTAATCACACATCACCAGTTATAATCATATGTTAACGATATGGTAATGGTCAACACCAGAGTTGACTTGTCGCTTGTCCTACAGCACTTTATATATTGAGTTTCATTTAGACCAAAAAAATTCGAATTGGTTATTTGATCGCACATGTTCTGTTGGTGTTCCACAACTTGTATTATTGTACTCATAATTCAAAGTTTAGTACTAAAGTTCTCATCACGTTATCAGTTGTTTTTTATTAACATTTTGCTGCGAAACTCAGCTGAGGAAACTTCAAATATATATACATATAGAATGACCAAAGAATCATGGAGTAAAAACTAGTGTGATTCGCAATGCCATTCCATAATTTTTACTGCTCATAGAATTTATGTGAAATAGAAGGTCACTAACTTGAGAGTTTATAGGGTTTATTGATTCAGTGAGCTAAGTCAAATGTATCTTCAATCAACCAAATCTCAGGTAAGAACACTTTAGTTATGTTCAAACCTCGAGTTACATTAACAGTCTTTAACAATACTGAGACAAACGAGCTAACTGTTAGTTTGCGATATAAGACAGAATTCAATCAATAGAAATAGTATGCGTACAGTTTCATTTGTGTACTCTTTAGTATAATCAAAATTATCGATTTATTCGTTTATCTGTTCCTGTTTTTAGATGCTGAAATAGTTGTTGGACCAGGTGCTCAGCGATTACTAGTTTCAGGTTTATGGGGTTATGTTCGCCACCCGAATTATGTGGGTCACATTATTATGACCGTGGCAATGCAGGTTCCATGCGGTGAGCTTTATTGGTTTTTATGTGAATAAAAGAGCAATATTGCTTGTATGCGTGTTTTTCGAAATTGATCTTTAACACTGAATCTGTACTCAACATATGTAAAGATAATTCATAACTTCTTCAAGATTGAGTATCTAAATCACAGAGTTTTCCGGACGATTGTCAGAATTGTTTACAGTCACCTGGGTAATTGCCGGAACAAGCCTGTGTTTGAATTGACACTCGTATTGACCGCATTAATCTTATGAATTACCGTTGGCAGTTAACACTAACTTCCCACCTTTCTCTTTTTATAGGTCTTGACTCTCCACTGTTATGGGGGATTTCCGCTATCACAATTCTCAACATTATTCATCGTTCTATTGTTGTAGAGGATGTTTGTTTAAGAAAGCATGGTCCAGCATGGCAAAAGTACACAGCATTGGTGCCGTATCGATTCATACCTAAAGTTTTTTAATTTCTACTTATTTCATAATATTTATTGCATTTATGTCAATGTGTTTCCTATATTTTTCGCTCAATGGTCAATTCTTATAAACTTTAATGTTTATAGATTTAATGCTCTTTGTTTCATGTGAACTTTTAGAATTCTTCAAATTGGCAGCATACATATATCAAAGTTTTGTCATGACAATCTATTAGGTGTACAGTTTTCTATTTAACCCTTTTTTACTCCCAATGTTTTATTCTAATAATAAGTCGATGTTTTTTTAATCTAATTGCTTATCCCCATGAAGAATTACAAAAAAAACATAGTTTTCTAGAAAATTGTAATAGGCTTAAAAAGAATTTTAAGCGTGTATTCGTGACTCATGAAATGTTTGTAACCAAAAAGAAATCAATTCTAGGATATGTATATGTTGGTCATCCTTCAATTGGTTTGTAGAAAAGAGTTGACACAAATTTTTGCCTGAAGCGTGTGATTACACTGAGTACGACTACACCGTCCTGAAGAAAAATAAAAGTAACAATAATTGTTTAATTCAATCATCCATTTTGGAACCTTTTAAGGAGGCGAACGTTAAACGCCATCGCTTTATAAATAGTTTTAACAACGCACAAATACTGTATTTGGTTACTTTTATTTACTTACGCCTGTCACCCCTCATGGAAGAGCTTAGGCTGCCCACTAGCACTCTCGGTCCAACCTTGTCCTTGGCAATCCTTTCCACTTCTTCCCAGTTGTTATTCACCGTTTCCATATCTGCTATTTCCCAGCATAATGTGTTCTTTGGCCTTCCTGTTTTCCGCTTTCTTCGAGGATTCCAAGTTAGCGCTTGCCTCATGATTTGCCTAATGTATGTCCTATCCACCCCCAATGTCTTTTCCTAGTTTCCTCTTTAGTTGCAAGCAGGTTTGTCTTGAGTATTTTGAGAAGACAACTATTTATAAATACTCTTACCTTCTTGATGATGGTCGTAGTAGTTCTCCACGTCTCAGCTCCGCACAGTGAGACAGTCTTCACGTTTGTATTGAAGATACTCGCTTTGATGTTGGCTGACAGTTGTTTTGAGTTCCACATGTTCTTCACTTGTGTGAATGAGGTCCTTGTTTTATCAATCTTCGTCTTTATGTCTGCATCCAATCCTCGTTCATCGATGACGCTTCTCAGGTACGTTAATGTTTCCACCTCTTCCAGAGTTTCGCCACCGAGTGAGTATGTTGAGGATTACTTTTCCAGAGGCTGTTGCTACATTTGCTGTCTTCGTATGTATTTGTTCGTGTGTATGAGATAGGAGGGCCAGGTCATCGGCGAAGTTCAAATCGTCTAATTGTATCCCGCGCTTCCCCTCAGATGTCGATGTTTTTATAATCCAGTCAATCACCAGAAGAAAAAGAAAGGAGGAGAGTAGAAAGCCTTATCTGACTCCGGTCTACGCTGTGTATATCACTACTACGGATAAATAACAAGTTGCTACATAGTTTATCCAGACTTCTTCACGGGAATGGATACCAACTGGGTAAAAAGTATAAGTAAGCTAATATGTACAGAAATGCATGCTACGTACTATGGGTAAACGGGACTACTCACCTTTATTGAGAGGGCATATAGGTGGTTGACAATCACATGGTTCGGTTGTGGCAGTAGATTAGGATCACAGTGAGCGCTTGTATCCATATTTAAAATCCCCTGAAATTGATTTTTCATAAAAAAAGTAACATGGACAAGGAATTCTCATCGGTATATTAAAATATTCGGTTACAATAAGCTGCGAAGTGGTGGGTTTCCAAATATTATCGTCAACCGAGACTTATCGGTGATTGCATTCCAAACCTAGTATATAACCACTAAAGGTGATTCATGTAGACAATGCAGCGTGATACGGTTCAGTTAGAATGAATTACGTCACATTTGCATATTTAGCACAAATTTACAATGATGTGTGCGTCTCTGGCTCGTTATCTAGAAAATTACCACAATTCTTTGCGGTTGAACAGTCAATCAACCACCTTCAAAGATGTTTGTAGTGCATGGAATGACCATGTTTTGCAATATAACTAACTTAAAATAGACAGTTGGAAGTGAACAGTAGGTTAGCTGCTTTTCCTTGGTTGTAATTTCAACATTACCATTATGAAGGGCCTTAGTTATTGTGCAGTAACACCTTAAGTATATCCACTTTACATCCACAATATCTTGTGTAAGCATCGTGATCCATAGAATTATGGAATGATGAGATGGTGACTATATCCTAAGTGTATTACATTTCATGGCATTCCAGTCCCAAAGAATAAGAGCACTGGGTATATGTCAATCATTTTTAATTCCAAGTGAACAGTGTTGACAGAACTGCTTCAAGGTCTGGTACAAATTAACTTTTTAAAACAATGACAAACCAGCATTTCATCACTGCAGGAAATTCGAATATTCAATAGAATTAAGAGTGAGGATTCATTCGAGTTACCACGCTTATCAGGATAGAGAGAGAGCATGAATACTGTCAATTGCGTTGAAAAGCTAATCAGTACTTAAGATATTGGGGAAGGTAGCGAATTAACACAAATAGATTATTTCAATCAGTGTCGTTTTATGTCATCTAACTTTCCTAACCACAATTTGCAATTATCCCGCAAAAAAAATCCATCGATGATAGAAGTTCATTGAATTTATGGTCTAATGCCATGTGTTCTTTTTGTCACCTTCCTACCTCTATTGAGTAAGCCCATATGGCAGGTCAGCGTATAGTCAGTAGAATATCACATTAACGAACACCTACAGCTTGATCGATAGACTAATCAAAACTCCAACAATAAAAAAACACTGACGAATTAAGTTAATGATATCTCCAACATTCAAAACTTTCGATTTGATGAGAGAACCAATCAGAACAATGATGGTTTTATTTGTCCAAATTTATTAATATGATCGGCCGCGAAAGTAGTTTACTTGAATTAGTTACGTATAAGCTCAACGAGAATCAATAGGAATTCCAATATAATTTTATACTATATGTCCTCATTAAGAGTAAGGCAAATTTATTGACTGGATGAAATATATTTTGTTTATAATATGCATAGAGGAAGTAGTTTCCGTAACTTTCTAAAGGTTATTTTCTCTCATACTTCTTAATACTACTACTATCAGTTTATTGATTACCTATTGTACCAAATATTGTCGTATATGTGCTATTACTTATTAAATTGCGTGTAAATACAAAGTATTGATCAATCCAATGTACATCATCCAACTTGTGTACTGGTTTATGTATTTTGAGTTATCCTGTGTCTATGTGATGGTTATTACTTAATAGTACTCGGATGCTAAAACTGTGGTAGTAGAAGTAGCAGTAGATCAGACAGAATTCAAAATCTATGACCTACTTGTTGAAAGTTGATTATCTTAATTATTATACACGACACTAGGCTCATGATGATAAATGCAAACTGTTTTACTATCATTCTGTGAATTGACATGACAGTAATGTAGAGAATTCAATTATATGCTATCAGTATGTACCTATTATTGCAACTTCTATTATGTAAAAAACCAAAAATTTAATTTCCTCATGACTGATTTTAGAAAAATACACCAATTTATTCGTCATTCATCTACTGAATATTATGCACACATGATATAAATTAATCGATAAATTAGCATGGGAAAGTCAAGAGATTATTTCAATATTTGCTGTTTTAGACTGGAATATTTATTCAAGTTGGTGTATTATCAGAACGAAGAAAGCAGTTATACTACATTAGTAAAGTAAAATTGATTTATTGTCAGTGGAATATACGCTAACAGGGATCATTAATTCAATTTAACTAAATTATTTCAGAAGGGGTTTCGTGGAGATTTAGTATTTTTCATAGTAGAAAGCGTGAGTCAATTGAAGCTAGACCACCATGGAAAACCTGGAAACACTGGACGGCCGTCAACGTACTGTTAAAGACTGTCTGAACTTTTCTTCCGAACATACACTCAACTGGGGTCATTCCGACTCACAATGCTGGATCGGATGTAACTGTGTAGGACATTAGGAAGTTACTGATGACTTGTGCTGGAATACCTTCTCCTTTTTTAATTAGAGACATTTTATCGTACCCACTAATCCTTTTGCTTGGTCATTTGATTGGGGATCGTTCGGGGTAGATCGTAGATGCGTAATGTCATTTTCACTGCAGAATCGATTGAAAGCGGACGACATGAACTGAGTACCATTGTCAGTTACTACGATCTCTAGAATCCCGAAACAATCTCGGAAATTTTCTTACTGTATTCTTTGACGCCGTATTCGGCATATCGCATACTTCCGGTCACTGTGAATTCATCCACAACAACCAAGTATATATATATATATATATAATTCACTTGATAACACATAATTGGGACTTGAAGTTTAAAAGTGGTCATATAATTAATTAGATAAATAAACGAAAAAAACAAAACAAATTTCAAAATTACCTGTAACAAATGAGGTGGTAGTAGGGGAGGTTGAGGTTGCGACCTAACACCCGGTGTGATTGACATGTGTCGACTATATACTGGTGTTGATATGTCACGTAGCTCACTTATATCTGTGGGTATAAAACGACCATATTCTCCGGGAGGTGAGTAACCACCCAAACTGTCTATCTAATATTAAATGAAGACGGAAAGAAAAAAAAACACGGACTTCGTCATTCAAGAGAAATGCACTGATCATTCTGTATTTGGTTAAGCATGTATTTTGGATAAGATATGTACGTATTTATTGTATGCACAGTGTTGTGAAAACGTACTGGATTATATTATTCACTCGAGATACCTAAAAACTTGAATGTAAAGACAATTTTCTAATAAAAAAAGTACGTGTAAAAAACGCGATGTAAGCTAAAACTGATACTTGTAATCATAAACTTAAAGTGATTGATAATGTTAGCAAATGAGATATGACATGACTAAAGTTTGAAAATACATAATATAGTTCAAGCAAGCATGAATGGACATTTACTTAAAAATGAGGAAATTAAAGTGAATGTTAAAGTAAATTAGTTATGTGTAGATAATAATAGTCATATAATTATATCATATGGAGTACTATTTCAAATCAGAGCACTGAACAGTTATTTTTTTCTAGTATGAAACTCTTTAGCAGTATTCGCATAAGGCTTTCAGGTCTCGTGCAGAACGATAAACTATTACAAACCCACTAGGTCAGAGTCCTATGGTACAATTGTAATGTTAATCAGCTGATATAGTGTGAGGGTTCTAACGGTAACCCAAATGAAATCCATTTTTAACAAGTACTACCCGACAGGTTAAATCAATCTCCTAGAAACCTTTTCAAGCACAGCATATGTTTTTAAATAGTCTATTGCTAGGTTAACTATACTGCTTTACAAAACAACATCATTGGATAAACGGTAGTTAATGTCATGAATAAAAAAATGAGCGATTATAGCATTAATGTAATCAGTGGGTTATCATCACTGGTTTTTGATTAAGACGTTTAGATATTTGGACTTTTTTTTATCTGAAAAAGCTTAAAAATGTTAAAATACCATCAGAATTCACGCTGTATTGACTATTCATTAGAGAATTGGTGTACAAACTGTTACATCGGAGTAGAGATTAGTAATTACGTGTATTTTATTTCACAGTGATGACAGGTTATTTAAATCATGGTAGCTTAACACTGAAAGAGAGAATTTGAAAAATACGTTTGTTAATCGTAAAAGGTGTTTTTGTGTACCTGTAGCTGACATTGATGGATCAGCGAGTGGGTAATATACAAGATAAATGATTTTGGGTAATATACATTGGTCTATCAGTTGTTTGTTCCTCAACAACATTGAATACAATCATAACACTGCTTCACTAATATGAAAGGTTAAATGATTTACCACAAACTTAAAGCAGAACAAAGAGATAGTTTATAAGTAAGAAGTGAATGAATTCGATAAAATGCGAGTTTAGTTCTGTTTTCAGTGTTGTAAAGTTAATTACAAAGAAACGAGGATTGGAAACGTGTAGACAACATTTAAGTAATTGATAACTTAGTGTCAATCAAAGTGATAAAAATGAAATAAATTAAGACTGAAAGCCATGGTTCAGTTAACGGATAAACGAAATCCTACTCAGGTCAGTCAGCTACAACGTAGGACCAGGCATATATATGCATCGGTCCAAGTTGCCATATCTCGTTAACACAGCAAGATGAACACCGGATTCATAGAAATAGTTAATTTAGTGGTGTTAGTATATAAAAGACAGGTTGTATATAAGGATATAGTATAGGAAGGAAGAACGTTATGAAGCAATTTTAATCTTAAGGTTTAAGGGAAGATAAAGAGTATATACACCTACGCCATTGTGATCGATTCTGAGCCATGTCACCTAGAGTCTCCAACCACTCAGTTTTTATACCCGAATGTAAAAAGATATTTTTACAGACTCCTAGTCAGTCGGTCGTATAAATGAATGGAAGTGTTATGAATACAAAAACAACAGGTAATCTCAACAAAACCCCTTCTGATAATTATTATAATCATATGTTCACTAGTGACTTCGGTAAGTATATCTAGGAGCTCTAGTGAGAAGCAGTGACCAGTGGAGTGTAAACCACATCTGTCGTGAGATAGGAACTCACTGAAGACAATTGGTGAATGGTTGCTCAACTTCGTGGATCAGTTGAAGTTAGACATTAACACCGTTGGATGCCAGCTCAGTTGCCTATCGGTTAAGGGCTTCGGCTCGAGACTTGTAGGTCCTAGGTTCGAATCTCGCGAGAGCGGGTTCGTGGATGCGCACTGCTGAGGAGTCCCATGATAGGACGAAACGGCCGTCCAGGTTTTCCATGGTGGTCTAGCTTCAATTAACTCATGCTTTCAACTATGAATTATAATATAGCAAAAACGGCCAATCCTCTTGCATCAAAATGCTCATTACCAAGATGTGGTCTAACATTAGTGACTAAGCTTTTCAGTATCTAAGTGACAGAAATTATAGTTTATTTATAAGTATATCATTTGTTTAATAAATAAGCGACAATGTACTTGAGCATACATCGGTGATCGTCTACAAAATTGTATCCTACAATCAAGTCACAAATATGTAGTATTTTGAAGAGGATAAGAAAAACAATGATCGTTAAAAATTTTATAAGAGAGCGTTTATGTGATCTTAGCTCATAAGGATTCAGTAGAGAGATTCAGAACATTTCTATACTATGAAATAATAAAACATATAAGAAAACATGACAATAAGCACTAGATAACAATTAATAACTAACTTAATCTCACTATTCAAGGATGTTTCTATAAACAAGTAAAAATTGATTAGGATAATTATTGGTCAAAATGTATCATACATTTTTCAAATCTACTTAACTCATTATCAGTTATCGCTAATTAATTGACTGACCATATACAGCATCCGGAAAATCACTCTCTGTATTTAATATAAATTTGTGGATTCTCTATCTAGAAATGAAGAAGTCGAACAAAATTGGGTTGATATGGCTAAATTTAGAAAGTTAGATACGATTGAAAATCGTCCAACGTGGTTAAATTCTAAGAAATATTTCAAATATTCTTCCATTTCTAATTAATAATGTTTTACATTTAAATTCATTCGAAATCAACGTGAAACCTAGCACAGATGTTTGTTGCCCTGTTAGCATTAGCACGTAGGGATAAAAGTAACAAGATGAATGGTACAGAAGTTGAATTAACTGTAGTTACGATGATAATGAAAAGACCGAACATTAAGAATATTCGTAGTTTAAAACACGAACGCATCATTCAGCGTTTCTAATTTTCTAATCGCATTCTGGCTAACAACAGTTCATGAATTAAATTATGAAAATTCTGCTATCTCCACAAAAACCCCAGTACTAATAATAATCATATGAGAGTGTAAGACAGTTATCAACTGCAAGAAATGAGGGTTGCGCAATATTGTGAACTGAAGTCAGACATCTAGATTGTGAGATGCCAGCTCAGTGTTCACGTGGGATAAAGAAAGATCTGTGTTTAATCCCTGGTGGTAACGTCGTGAATGCGACGACCGATGAGTCCCATAGTAGGACGAAATATCTGTTCATTGCTTGCTGGTTTTCAGTGGTTATCTAATACAAGTCGATTCAAAATTTCAATGGAAGACAATGTGCGACTAAAATCATATCAGTTAGAAGAGATTACATTAGTAATCATCATAGCAAATGTAAAGTACAAATTAATGATAATAAGCTGGGAAGGTAAGATTGACAATAAATATGTATAAAGCCAGTCAATTTAAGCCAAAAACGTACGACAAAATAAACATGTGCTTTTTTTCCAAAGGCAATGTAACAAAAATACATTATATTTATTTATTTGGACACATGAACATTAGTACAAGAGGGCACCAAATACATATGCGTCACACAATAACAATGAGGCTAGTGTGAGGGCTATGATACTGCCCGAGTGCCCACACCGAAGCAGGTGGTTTTCTTAGGGGGTCACTCCCAGAGTCAGTTTTTAAGGTGTCTAACTATGAGTCATTAAATTACATGTCAAATCAAGACGCTCAATTTAATTTGGTTAGTACAATAGAGTAGTAATACCAGCCTTTACCTTTAGAATGTGAATTGAAGTCTTGTTCACCAATATTTACCGGGTGTTGTATGAATTCTACTTCCAATAACAAATGAATACATATGTATGAGGACAAGTTGTGTGATATCAACAAAGATGGAAATGAACTTAATAGATCAAAGAATTATACAAAAATAAAATGAGTTTTCCTATTAAAAAATTCTTCGAACTATTCATATATGTATATAGTTTTTTTTTAAACGAAATAACTTATGTTCAGATATTTGGGGCATATAAACAACATTGTCCTCATAAACATATAGTAGGTCAATTGGACTTATCTAGAACCATAGACAATTTAGAATCTATCGCTGCATTAATTGACTAAAGATATACCGATTTAATCAATAAGTTAGAATACACTGCATATTAACATAGTAACGTGTTTTAATTCAATAATAATAAACACTTTTGTTTGATTATATTTTGAAATTTTTGAGGCAGTGGCACATTTACCATATACAAACGATATAGATGAAATTGGGTGAGACTATAATTTATGGACGATCTTTGAGCAACGCTGAAATAACCCTGAAAATGTCATCTACTTACTAGAGTTAACTGAGGGTTATAAATTATTGCGAGGAACTAGAATTGGAGTTTATAATTAAACGTTAGGGTTAGAAATTATGTTTAATGTTTTCATCACGAACTGACATCAGCTATAATGCCAAAATGGTATTTAGCCAAATAAAAGGATGAATCTCGCGCCAAAATGTGATTGGTTCGTCCATAAATTATAGTCTCGCCTGAAATGGATTACGGGAACTTTAGTGATCGGGAAAATTCGTCAAATATTTACAGCCTTTACATAAGAGTCCAATGATATGTATTTTCATTATTACTTCCATCGACAATCATGATTCAATGTTCAATTATTCAACGGCTTACATAAATTCATCTACAATCCAATATTATTAATCAGAATATGATTATTAAGTTTGACTTTGTGGAGATTCATAAATTTCAATGCTTTTAAATTATTGTAAGAATCTTCATAAAACATTGCAGACA